CCATGACAGATTCATCTCCTGGCACTTGGATCTTCCATCATGTAAAGATTCTGGCAGCTGGCTCAAGACTTCCGGCCTTGCCTACTCTTTGCACAGAAGTCAGTCACTTGGAAAATAAAGTGGCAATCTGCACGCAACAGTTTTGCCGGTCCAGGAGCAGCGTGGGGGACGCGCGGGAGGGACAGACTGGGATGAGCGATCTCGTCAGGGCTTGCTGCAGGCAGAGGGCCGAGGTGCGTGCTGTGGCTGAATGTGTGATGTTTGCTGATGGGGTGCAAGTGTAATTAATATAACCATGTCAAGTATCCTGGCTTAAAGCTACAAATTAAAAGCACCAATCCTCTTGTTTCCTTGGAGAGGCACCACACTGGTGTAAGGCATGAAGGCAGTGGTAAAAACAGCAGTATTTCAGAGCTGCTGTGATATCCCAGACTTAGATCTACTTAGCTAGGAGTGCACAGAAATGAATGCAATGAGGTAAGCTGACAGCCAGCCAGACCCAGGGAATGTAAGGGTTTTCTGGAAGGGGCTACAACCACCCATGTACAGTCTTAAAGCCTTTAAAGCTCCACATGGCCCTTCCTGTCCCTCAAGGCATGGGCAGCTGTAACAAGGCAAAAGTGCCTTCGCTTTATTAGGACAGCAGCAGTCAGCATCCCACGGTACGGTACCTGCCAGAGCGTGTCGAACTTGGTCCCCTCGGGGATGGAGTACTTGCCAGACTTGTCCTGGTCTATCCGATAGTGATACACTGTTTTGCCATAGATGAGGGAGAGAGCATAGGCACCGTTCTCCTTCCTTTCTCTCAGCCTGGTAGGAAGGAGAACTATTAAAAACAACTCTAGGTTTTGCCCTGCGAATTATCACAGCTGCAGCAGTGAGGGGTCACTGGGTGGGCACTCGGTAAGGTGTCCCTGCACCCCACTGTTGGAATTGCCATCTTCCTGACACCCCTCTGCGGAGGCTGAGGAGGGACCCTTCACCTTCAGTCTCTTGCCCCTCTTCTCCACCCTCTCCAGCTAATTCTTTCTTTCCCTAACTCATTCAGGAGATAATTAAATGAAGGGTTGTCTCACCTCGGCAGAGATGCAGAGGAAATGCTTTCTCCTGTATTTTATTGGCCATACATTGTCTATGTCTCAGTGTTAAATGTCTTCACCCACTGAACCCTATATCTCATATCACCTGGTGCATTAACAAACATACTTCATACAGATATCTAAATGTGAGAAACAAATAAAGCTCAAGACTGGCTCTTCATGGAGGCCAGACACTGTCTGGACAATACCCCTATTGGTCTGGGGTGTCAGACCCTGTCTTTGAAAGATCTGTAACCACAGTCTGATCATATTCAGCTAAACCTCTTCTCAAGAACTGTCACATGAAACAAATAACTACAGGGTAGTGGAGGTAGGGAAATGGTAAAAAGTACAGGGGTCACAGCATCTGCCAGGGTGTTGCGTACTTACAGGAATTTCCCATCAGGTTGTGCCCCAGAGTAGAGCCTCCGCTCAGCTTCATCCCGGGGGATGTTGCCATGGTACCAGGGCATCCTCTCATGGGCTGTGGTGGCGATGAGCTTCTCCACCTGTGGAGCCTGGCTTATGATGGCCTGTTCGAGTGCATCGCCCTGGAAGAGAGTGAGAAATGAGACCTCCTGCCACTCTGCTGCATTGTTGCATGGCTTCAGCACAGTTTATTTTGCACCCTTTTGGGCAGATGACACAGGAAACTTGGAAGGTCTCATAACTGAAGTGCCTGTGGCCTTAATCACGTCTATAGCAATAGTGGGTTGAATTCTGTTCTGCTGCAGAGCTGAATTCCTTGCTTATCTAAACTGGTCCCATCCCTCAAATCCAGCTGAAGTCCATTGACTTGGTCAATGTGAGGGAAGGGAGAAGCCATCATATTTGTATGGGGGAGCTTGATGTCAGGTTTGCAGGGTGTCTTTCAGCCTCGCATTCCTGGGAGAGCAGGACCTCTTTCTGGTGCCTCTGCCTTCCTGGCTGCTCACTGTCCCCAGGCACTACAACCTGTCAAGAGCAGTGCAGTCTGGAAATCATGTGGGAGACCCTAAATTAATTTAATTGGCCCCACACATTTTATAAACAACTGTAGCTTTTCGATTGCCAGTAGGTGGCAATGTCCTTTGTGTTATCTATCACTGTTCACAGATCAGCTTCAAGGAGAAACCCTATAGATACCTCATTCTGTCAAGCACCTTTGGTCTAAAATAGGCCACATTTAGAGATCTCTTGTAGCAAGGCTCCATAAAGAAAATGCCTGAGCCGTCTTTCTGTGAGGACTTGGAAGTGTCTGAGTAGCCACTCGAGGTGACAGCAGGTAGAAGGAAATTAATTACAGAGCTGCCAGTGTGACCATTTACAGAGTTTTGCCTTATACATATAGTAGTATATATATTCCAGTCTGCAATAAAATGCAGGAACCTGTCTGTAGCTATTTTTAAATTGAAATAACAGACAGACCTGACCCAGTACCCAGTATCTCAGCCTCATAGGCAAAACCTCCACTGACTTCAAAGAGCGAGGAAAACCTGAGCAAGAATTTAAGTCTGGTTTCATTACATCTTCAGCACAATGTTATAGAGGCAGAGGCACCTCATATGGGGAGCGATGGTCTCATTGCAGTGAGCATCCCATGTGCTGCAGAGGAGCAAAGGGCACATGGGGAAATGCTTGCAAAGTGGGCAGAGAGCTCCAATGCCCCACAGAGCAGATGTAACATGAGCTGTTCACAGGAAGAGTCTGAAGGCTTGGGAAGATGGTTAGACCTGTTTCTGAAGAAGAAGCTGGAAAAGGAAGAGCTTTAAGACTGCTCTTAGTGCCAGCAGCCTCTGAGGAGAAGGAACTTGCTTTACTATGCTGTAAGAGGGGGATGACAGCGACAGAGGACAGGGTGGCAAGTGGCAGTAAGCCCCCGGGGAGCACTCCTTGCACAGTCCCACACCACCTTTGGCAATGGCCAGTACCTCTAGCTTCCACGTCTGCCGGACATATTCGCGCACCATATTGTCCCTCATGCTGTCGAAGACACCGGGTTGGGGCTCCACACCACTGGGGCGGTTGCAGGGCTTGCGGAGGGTGCAGCAGAGCCCATCGGCATCCTTTGAGTAAAACTCACAGAGCTCCTCCGGCCCGCAGTGCGCTTTGCCTCCCGCGATGGCGTAGGTACCGTTCATCTGGCGCTCGATGGCGTAATGGTAAAACTGCAGGTTGCAGACCATGGAGAGGACGTACCCCCCCAGACTGCGCAGGCATTGCCGCAGCAGGAACAGGCCATCCGACATCCCCGCCAGCTTGAGGTACTCCTCTGCTTCTGACCTGGCAATGCTGCCGTAGTAAAAGGGCAGGTGAGCAGCAGCATCTGGCATCTCTGCGCGCTCGCTGGGACTGCTTCGGTCGACTCACACACTGCTGGTGCTCGATCTGGAATAAAGAAGCAAAGTTCTTCACCGACACATAATTTTGCAAAAAGGTTTAATTGGAATTCAGACTTGTTGGCCCTTCAGCCCTCAGCTGACTATCTGTAGTGTCATTTCAAACATCGCATGGAGAGTAGCAGTGGGTGCATTCATATCCACAGCCAGAGAATCCCACAGTGATTCCTCTATCCCACTCTGAATGCAGCTAGAAACTGTAAGTAAAAATCCATCTGATCTTGGCTTAAAGTTTTCAAGCAATAGAGAATGCACCGAATCCTACAGTGAATTGTTCCAATGGTTAATTACGTTCACTATTAAAAATGAGCTTCTTACATCCATCATGAAGTTTTTAGCTTTGACTTCCTACCATTTTCTCTCCAGCCCTGTTCACAATAAAAGGAAATTCTTTTGCCTCTCTGAATAAATTAGTTTTGCCATAAGGGTCTGTAAGACCAAAATCTTAAATGGAATAAGATTAAAACATGAGATGGATATTAAATATCTAAAAAACATTTAGATACACAATTGCACCAAACACAGCAAAAGGAGATAAAGATAAACCCAAGTGCTTCTGGGCAGACATTAACCTTCAGTTGACAGAACAGGAAGAAACCTTCCTCTAATTGTCTCTTGAAAAATTTATGGGTTTTTTCCCATGATACCTGACTCTGGCTGGTTTCTGAATTTGACCAATACTCTGATCCCATCTGGCAGTTCCTATTTCTACATCGTGCACATCCTCCAGAGAAGGCTCAGATGTGGCCAGCCATCACCACAAAGTGAGCTTAATCCCACCGTCTCTGTCGAGCTGCAATGCGCAAGTATTACTGGAGCCCCCTGTTCAGAACAGCCTAAAACCAGAAATGTACCTACCGCCGTGCTGCTGCAGCACCAGCTCGTGGTGGGAACCCAGCAAGAAATGGCACTTTGTTGACTGAGTCACTGCAGAGCCCCTTCTGCCAAAGAGCTATAGGTCTTGTATCAAATCATCTAAATTCCCACCCACAAACAGAAGCCGATTTCCAGTGATTAATGGAAACATTATCATATTTGAAGGGTCTCATTTGTTCCCCAGAGCCCAATCTTTGATTTTGTCATTGCGCAGATGCTGACCCCAAAAAGATCAGAGCGTTTGTCTTCATCCGCATTTCCCGCAAATGCGTCACTCCAGTTCAGAGTACAGAAAACACTAGCTCTTTGGCCAGCACACTGGCTATGTGCCCTGATTCTTCCAAACGTAACTCTGATTTCTGAACATGATGGGAGAAGTCGCTGCCCAATGGGTTGGGCCCACCGCGCTGTTCCCGAAGCGGCCCCTGCTCTCAGGCAGCGGCTGGCGCTGTGCCTGGGCTGTGCTCATCCCTGCTCCATCACCCCCAGCCTGCCGCAGCCCGCCGAGCAGCACAGCGATAGGGCTGCCTCCTGCCCGGCTCTGGGACTGCTGGAGCTGGCAAGGGGTCGGTTGGATACGCGCTTTGTATGGGCAGGAACGGGATAGGGGTCAGGAGAAAACCGCGCAGGAGAAAGCGTTCTGCTGTGTGCACCCTGCTCTGCTCAGCCTGCAACAGCAAAGACCCTCGGGGAGCTGGATTTATGGCAACCAGCCTCTTCTCTACCTGTTTGTCTGTTGCCTTCATTAAGCCCAGAAATGGCCCTGACGAGAACAGGAAGGGAGAGCAGGCCCTGCCGAGGAGGAGTTTTAGCCGAGGCAGGAAACCACAACAGGAAGCTGTCAGTGGCGTTTGCAGCTTGGGTGCGGGACTAGCATAAACCGTATCAGGCTCTGCACAAATAAACCTGAGTTGTGAAGCCCCTTTCATCAAATTCATCAAATGAAGCAAAGTGGGGTCTTGGCAGACCTGCCAGTCTGGACACAGAAGGAAAATGAAAACATCCTGCAGCTCAGATCCTAACTGGAGTCAGTGCTTGGAACCAAAGCAAACGTCCTAATCCCTTGATGCCTCCAGGCATCAGAGCAGCCCAGACACTGGACAGGCGTATCCCCCACATTCAGCTCCTGAGACGGGATGACTGCCAGGTCAACCCAACCTCAGCCCGGTCCCAGGGGAGGGCAGGTCCCAGGAAGGTGGGTTGAAGGATGTGAGGAGCAAGGATGGCAGCTCTTGGTTTTAACTGCAGAGTCAGGCTCATGAGTCACGTTCACGAGTCAAGGAAGAGGAAGCACTGAGTGGGCAGTGGAACGTCGGTGGCCTTCTTCATGTACTACTAATTTCCACTAGCTACCTGGGATAAACAGTGACTAGGTACAAGGACACCGCACCCAAATATGCTGATTCCTTTTTCTGGAAAGTCCAGGACCAGAACATCACAGCAAATGGAACATGTTTGACAATTGTTCAGACAGGTGAAAATGAGCCGGCAGAAGCCATTGATGACCACCGAGCTCCCACAAAGTTTCCAGCTGCCTACACAGGTGGTTCTGTTATAAACAGACTGGTTTTCCTCTCCAAGCACAGGGCTGTGAGTCAAGAAAGCCTCACAGAGTGAACCCAGGGATCAGAGGTTGGTTCAGGCTATGCCACCCATTTTATACAAGCCTTGCTGCCACAAATGAACACTGTTAGAAAATTACCCTTATTAGAAAAAACTTCTAAGTCCCCGGCCATGAGGGAAAGTCATGCCCTGAAGTCTGAGAGCAGATTTGAACAGGATGATTTATAGCCTCTCTAAAGCGCTCGCTTTTAAAAATTTTGTCCTACCATCCTGGCTCTTTCTATTGCCCATACATCAGCCCAGGGTCTTCTGGGCATAGCTAAGCTCCTCTTCCAAACTACAGCTCTGTTCCTTAGCATTACCTCTGGGTGGACCTGAACAGCCCTGATAAAACCTCAACACACCTGCATAAACCTCATAGTTTGCACAGTTTGCACAAACTTCATTGTTTTCCCACACTGTAAAATGCAGACGAAAATGAGAAACTATTTCATGGATTGCTTTTATGAACATAACAAACTAGTGCCTGGAAGAAGCTGTGCAAGGGGCACCACTATTCATTTCAAGTAACAGGACCTGATTTTTCCAGCACCTGCTTAATCTCTGTCCCTTGGGCTGCAGCGACCCAGATGCCAGGTGTTCCTGTTGGCTTTGGGCACTCCCCCCAGGTTAGAAACAGCAACTCAAGGAGAACAGCCGTAAAACCAGGGCTCCTGTGATAAATGGCCATGATTGCAAGTTGATGTTATGACGTGAAGATGCACAGAAAAAAGCAACACCCATGTGAAAAGTAGTTGGATCTGTGCACCGTAACACACAGGAAAGCCAGACAGGAAGCTATTGAGATGTCAGTCAATCAGATCTATATATAGCCAGCAACTTGCTTTTACTTAGATCAGACAAGAACCATCAGGAACTGGTTTGATTTTATAATTTCTCAGAACAGCAGAACCGCTTTGTGTGAATCCAGAGCCAGTCCCCGAGAGCAGCGGGGTGCACTGATGAAACTGGAGGAGGCACTGGCAGACCTTAGCATCCTCTTAGGACCGTATTTTCTGTATCATTGTCCTGGCAGCAATAATCCCTTGTAACACAGCCCTGGCTGGCTAGGCTGTCCCTTTAAGGTGGCTGGGTCAGCCTGGGGTAGAGGAGGGACCTTCCCCGGGGAGATGGGGGAGCCAGCAGGGAGGGCTGGAGAATGGGACCCAGGTGATGGGGAACCAGCCTGGAGGGGTATAAAAGGGGGCCAGGAGGGTGGTGTGTGCTTTGGAGGTTGTGGTAGGAGCTGCTGCTGAGGTTTGTGTTGGCAGTGTGGGGAGGGGTGTTTAACAATTTTCTAAAAGGTGTTTAACTAGGGGGGGGAGGTAACTGCAAATAAGATCTGCCATGGTAAATGTGCCTGTGGCATTGCTGAAAGGTCAGGTCAGCCTCTCTGATGGGAGCTGGGGTCTCTGAGCTCCTCTGTGGGTCACTTCTGCTGCCTTCCAGGGCTGGGGGTGTTGGGGGCAGGCTGAGCTGGGGCATGGGCAGTTGGTGGGCTGATGGGCAGGGGAGCAGCCCAGCCTTAGGGGCTTGCCTGCCCTGCAGGCAGGGGTGAAGGCAGCTGGGTGGGTGTGGGGCATCTGTTCTGCCCTCAGCTCCTAACTGTCCTGTGCTGCCTTCTTGTCTCCTCCTGATGTGAGCTGGTCTCTTTGACCACCTCATGGGAAGGAAAATGCTTCTCATGGTGCCTTGCCTAGACCCACCTGCAGTTAATATGAGAATAAATGTGCTTTCTTATGGTGCTGTTCACAGCCCCTTCTATTCAGTGCTTTAGGAAAGCACTGGGGTTACTTCAACCCTCCTGTTGTTCACTGAGCTCCGCTGGTCCCTGCGGAGGGGCAGCTGGCTGCAGGAGTGGGGCTGAGCCTGATGAGCAGAGGCTGTGGCAGAGCAAAGGTGTAGGTAGGCAGGATTTAGAGGCGGAAGCAGGGTGAGGAGCAGAGAGGGATGGCAGAAAATGGAGCAAGTCTCAAGCAGCAGCTGTTTCCCTCTGTACCTGCAGAGGCAGTGGGCATGTACAGGGACCTTCTGGCTTCCCCAGAGCAACTCTCCCCCATCCCTTCCCCTGGATTCCCTTCTGTTGTTCCTGATTTGATCTGAGAGCTAGATTTACAGTGGAAAGCTTGGTTGAAGATGTGAAGGGCTGAAAAATGTCTACAGTGTACAAGTTGCCTTTCCAATTCACTCTTCCCAGGAGCAGCTGGCACCGTGCGAGAGGATGAACTGAAGAGCTGATTCCTGGAGCTCAGGCACATGGGTTTTTTAAATCTTAAATAACACAAGACTCAAAATTACTTTGATTCAACTTGAAATGCTTCTTAGTTTAAAGAAAAGCCTGAAAAACTTAACTTTGGATTGGCCTGACTAGACTCTTCTAATTGTTCTTGATTAATGTTTAATTCTTATTTATGCACTCCATGGCAGCGCTTCCCAAGATTTCCTCATGAGCACTT